GCTGAGGGAAGGGTGAAGTGACAGGGTCGGCTTGCTCTAAAGTGCAGAAACTACTCAAAAAGTTGGAGGCAGGGCACTCCATGGCCAGGAAGGAGCTATGCCAGCATTGTCTGGCTGGAGGCTCAGCATGGGGCCCTTTTCTTGCCTCGGTCGACTGCCCTGAGCCAGACAGTAGTAGAGTTTTTGTCTTGTGCTTCCTTAGGGCTGCAGACTCAGGATATATCTGGACCACCCTCCCCTTTTGTTTGGAGGGGAGAGAGGTGTGGGCCCTGTTGCAGTCTTGCTCCACTGGGGTGTGAGCAAGGGTACCTGGCTGGGACTGGGCACTGCAGGGGACCCAAAATGCTGGTGCCTGTGCTGCCCCGGCATCCAACACTCAAGGAAACACATTCCCTTGTGGGGATGAGCGAACACGAGTGGTGGAGCACTTGCACCAGGCCACTGTGTGAGTGCCACTGAGCCGCATGTCACCAATGACATGAGAGTGATGATTTACTGTGAAAACTGCCCTATAGAAAACACACTTGAGGATCCTGTTTATCATCTCATAGCCTTCAAATACTCCGTGGTTACAAATACTCCATGCAATTACAAGCTAAAAAAAGGAGGGGAGGTAATTCTCCCACACACTGTCTAGCCCATGGACTCAACAAACCCATGGCACCAACAGCAGGCAGTGTGGGTCAAACAGCCCGGCAGGACTCCTCCTGGGAGACAGTGGACCACCTCCACCAGGGATAAACAATGCCCACTTCAAACCTGGGCCATGGACTTGTTGCCAGATCCACACAGCTGCAGAGAGCAGAGGTGGAGGGAGCTGTGTCGATGATGGGGGTAGGATGGAGAAAGAAGAAAGGTTGTTCCCACACAACAGCCTCTCCTCTGCAAAACCACAATGCTCTGTGGGGCTCTACAGCCCCCACACTTCTCCAGGTACCTCCATCCTGGCTGAGCTCTGCTGGAAACTACAGTCCACAAAACCACTGTGAAAATGCTGGCCCATAGAAGTCAACTTGCCATGCAACTCTCAAAGGTTGCACAAAGACTGCGCAGAGACTTTAGCACAAGAGAGTGACCACAAGCAACTGTGTCTTGGGGTCACATTCAGAGGTCCAGACAACCAGTTCAACAGTCGAGGGAGCCAAGTGGTCTCCCTTGATAGCAGAAAGTTTGACTCACCCTCTCCTCATCCCAAAGCACCAGGGGAATCTCCATATGTGTAAACCTACAGCCTGTACACCCCATTCCCTCCCTGCAAGAGCACTTACCCCCCAGGAACTGGATGCCTCCTGCCACCCTGCCCACGGTCCTGGAGATGAGCTCGGACACGCAGCAGCCCATGAGCGCTGTCAGGGCCACCAAAAGGAGCAGCCCACAGCCAAGGCCCGTCACCACCGTGCAGATCCTCCACTCGGCACTTGGGATGGCCTGGAAGGAGGCGTAGCGGCCACACTGCTCCACCATCACAGTTGTCTGCCGGGTCTCGTCCCGCACTGGGTAGGAACACCTCCGGAAAGTGCCAAAGGAAACTGACTTCTCCAGCTGAGACCCCAAGAGCCAATAGGGCATGAAGAAGCCCACGCAGGAGGCGGCAGCACAGAGGAAGGAGAGGAAGGCCCACACCATGCCGGTGCAAGTGAGGCTGGAAGCCATTTTTGTATCTGCTCCAAGATCCCTCACGATGGGGTGACAGAAAAGCAGCTATGTATTTTAGAGGAGGTTTATGGATAATCCGGAGTCTCTCAGACTTGACAAATCCTCGCGACGGGAGAAGCTCGGATCCTAACAGTAAAGGGGATGTTTCCTCCCATCATGAAGACAAAAGTCCCTAATTAAATAACAACAAAAGCAAAAAAAAGGAGAAAAAGACAAGTTCAGTAATACCGACATTAGAAAAAAACATTTATCTGTCAGAGTGCTTTTCCTTCCTATTGGACTTTCCATTAGGACATCTCACTTTTCTGTCCCATCCTTACAAGCAGCCACTAGAATTGCTGTGGGCAACAGTGGCTGCCAGGGCTGGTGGGACAGCGGTGGGGGGCAGCCCAGCCAGCACAGGCTGCTGTGCGCATCCAGAAACGCTCTGCAGCCACCTTCAGGGGCTCCCTGTGTACTTGCCTATTCAGTTTCTCCACCGTACTCCTTTTCCATACCAGCAGCAAAAGAGAAGGTGAGGTCTCATTTATCCTTAGCTACTTGGGCCCTCCTTCTATAACGCCTGGAGAATGTGCTTCACCATGTACATGGTCCCACTGTTTCAGTGCAAAACCATTCCCAGTGCCTAAGACTTTTCAAGATCAGACCTCTGTGGCAGAGGTAAACCTCATTAACACACCCCCGACAGAAGTGTTACACGGTGACATTTTTTCCAGCACTCCCTCAAGGTATTGGCATCTTTGTGAAAAGGAGCCTTTTATCATTTGATGTCCAAAAGTACCAGGAACATCAACTCCAGGTGGGTTCCTGGTAGATTAAGACATTGCCACATCTTTTGGATTCACACCCAAGCAACCTCAAGCAGCACATGATTAAAACACAGGGGTCCTTCTTAATATTCCTGCTTGCACTCAGCCCAGCTCCTTCTCTTCTTTGCCTCTTCCCAGCTCAAACTCAGGAGCCCTAACCCCTCTCCAACCTTCTCAGACAACTCCCGGCCTAGTACCAGCACAACCAAGTGCATTTGACTGTCACAGAAACCTACACGCTACTTCCTAGAGGATGGGGGTGTGTTTCTTGTTAAATCCATACTGGATCATTACTCCAAATGTATTTCTAAATTTATGATAATTTCTCACAGTTGCTGCCAAATTAATTCTGATAGCTATTTACAGGGGCTTTTTTTCTAAGCATGATTAGACGCCAATCAGTGAATTCAATTCATGTACAGGCAATAAAATTAATACTACTTCACTACAAGGAGGGAATGTAAAGAGAGTCTGCAAGTGAAATTAAGCATGTGCACCACACTAAAGTTTTGTTTACTTTTAAAACAGTAAGAAAAAGAAGTCTCTTCTATAATGTTGAAAAAGGCCTCCGCTGCTACTCAAGAAGTACACACCTACCTACTGGTAGTCTACCTACAGAAATGCCTTTCAGCCTGCAAAACACCAAACCCCTGGGGATAAAATCTTGGGAGAGGGGCACAGGGTGCCTCCATCCCTCCAGAGGCATCTTCTAGGGAAGAATCTGCCGGTGTCTTGGCGTGGAACCAAATGTCTAAGGCAAAATGGGTCACGACACTTGGGGAAGATCATTCCCTGAATCGCGGTGAGGAGGCACGGCTGGAAATAGGGGACAGCGTGGAGGCTTCCAGGGGTAGGACTCCGCAAACGCGCCGGCCCTGGCGGAGCAGCAACTTTGCCTCCCC